CTAGTAAATAACATTTGTATAGCGCATGCCCAAGCTCGACAGCAAGCTCTAAGCGCTTTACACTATATTAGTACTCTAGCAGACACTATAACACTCAGAAACCATCTCCGCTTCCAGAGGAGCATACAGTGCAAGCAGCCGATGAACCGCTCAAACACTAACAAACTGACAAGATATTTAGCTGTCTATAGCTTTGTAATAATTCTCACTTACGTGAAGTAAGGAAAATTCGTGTAAAGTGCCTTTCCCAAGGACACAATGTCGGGCCCCTGAAGGGATTCGAACCCCCGACATTACGGTTGCGAGTCCGGGAGCCTAACCACTGGGCCACCAACGTACGCACGCAAATAGGTTTTTAAGAGCCTGGTAATTGATACTTATGAAAATGAGATTCGTGAAATGATAGCTCTACAATGTCTCTAGAATGCATGGTTTTACTGTATTGTGTGCAGTAATTGGGGAGAAAAATAAAAGAAAATAGCTGAATTCAGAGGCAAAGTAACCCCATTGACTGATAAATATGATACATGTATTTATAAAGATACTGGTATGCAGTATGTACAATAATATATATTATTATATACCTTAATACACACACACACACACACACACACACACACACACACACACACACACACACACACACACATACATTTTACATTATTATTTCCTTCTTTTTTGTTGTAGTTGGGAGGGGTATTTAAAAGTACACATTTTACTCTAGTAGTGTTTGTTCAATTTCCTGGTGTGTCAGGCAAAATACAGGTTTCTTGTTTAATAGTTATTGAACTTTCTGACTTTATGCTTTAGGATTATGATGTGTTCCTTATATTTATAATTAAGATAGTGTCTTACAGTGTTGATCAAATATCATCCACGTACATAACGGCGACATTTTCTTCTCTCAGACTTGGAACTGAACAAAGTCCTACTTATTTACGTTGTTCATTTTATTATTATATCCATGTATTACTATTTATTCATATAATAAATAAACAAGTAGCTCAGAGAAACATCGTTGCTCATGGTAATCTAAACAATATTATACAATATGCACGAAACAACACTCACCCTTTCTGTAGACAAGCACTGCAACGAACACGTGGGCACCACCTCTGACTTGAAGCTAAACTTGAAAAGCTTTGGCGACCTTAGACGGACCTTGCACAAATGGTAGACTCGCTGTTGAAGCCGGAATGAGCGTCAAAGAGAATGTCTTTCAAGAGTCACTGATAAAACAGAACACAATAAAGAAATAACCAAGGAAAACAATCAACGTTACTAATCAGAAGTCGATTAACGATGCAGACGCAAAATGTCCGTCAAAATCCAACTGAAATTCTTTGTGATTCTGAGTTTGGACGCGTTTTAACCTCTGATCGCGTGTATCCAATGAAATGACAGTATTTAACTAAGCTCCTCCCTCAAGGACGCTTAGCGTCAGGTGACGGTAGGAACACCCCCAGGCTAGGATTACCTCACCTTTCTTCTGTTTGTCGGCAACGGGGGAAGGCTATAAAGGCGATAGCTGACCACATGGACTTCAAGATTTCTCACTTCTGTATCTGTTTTGGTGTGTGTGTG